CCAGATAGGAAGAGTCAAGTTAGTAAGCCATACATTGAACAGTAAAGAACAGGAATAAAGTTTTGCTTTGCTTGGACTGCCAGAAACTTGTAAAATGTACTATGCAAGTGCTAGCTAATATTCAAAGATCCTTAAAGGAGTATGATCTGTTTTAGTATAGTGAGCTAGAGATATGGGAAACGAGATTTGAGACATTAGTTCAGGTTATTCAGGTCCAGAGTCCAGTCCGGGTCCGGACGAGTCCATCGGTCCGGGAAATTTCTCAAAATGATGGACCCAGGACCGGACCTCTCCTGGACCCATGAGGACCGGACTGTAGAGGACCGGTCCATCAGTCCAGTCCTGCGTCCGGACCGAGTCCGAGCGGTCCGGGACCGGACATCAGCAACTATAGTTGACACTATGAATGCTTTTTTTTTACACCATGACGAAATGCAGTGAAACATATTCGTTCTCTCACCAGGAGAAGCTATTGGATTGCACTTGTTATTGATCGGCTCGTTCTAGTCACCGATACTCGACTTGCCACGCAGCATGTCTGCATTCTCTGAGGCTACTGTGGCCTTAGTAAATTTTCTGTTCAACTGCGGTAGACCAAAGACCTCTGAATTTCCGTTAATGCAAAGTAAGCCCTCCCATTCACCAAAATCCTGCAAAACTTTGAACCTGACTTGGACTCTCCCCATGTGAACGAGTTTCACAGAAGGAACATCTGGCTCATCTTGAAACGCTGCACATGACGAAATGCAGTACCAACATACATTGTGCTGAATTTGCATAAGCACCGATAGTAACGCTCAAATAGCCCCTTCGCCTATGTGAGTTTTGTAAATTCCGAATTTGAAAATTTCACCTACAGTCTTCTGCTGTGGCGCATAACTTGATGCGCCTCTCGTCACAGGACGCCCAGTGTAAGTCGCGAATGGTAAGTCGCACTAATGGTGGATTGGCAATGCTCACGAATGCAGTATAGAATACGGACATTTGTCCCACAAATTGATCGTGTTTCTGATATGGTGATCCGAAGGTGTATTCCGATGAATCAACTATCCCATTCTCGATAGAGATACTTACAGCCATGGCCATGACGCATGTAGTGCTCTTCGTTCACACAACTTCTCTCAGGAATTGGTGTCCCTTCGGCATTTTGCTGTGTTTTCGGAATTTTGGTGCGCGTTCAACTCCACGATGCTCTGGGAATATACCGGATTCCGGTGTATGCATGACGCACTCAGACGTGCGCTCTTCTGGAGTCATGTTTGAGGGTGCTCTGCAAATGCACATGACATGACTTGCTATTGTTTCTCATACGGAAGGCAAAAGGTATAAAAGGACCTTTAAGTCGAGCAGGAAAGGACCAGACAACTCTAGTCGTCTACTCATACTCTCACAACACAAGTCTTCTTAACACACAAGCACACAACAATCATGAAGTTCTCATTCACTAGCTTGATCACTTTCTCGTTGCTCGCCGCTTCCGGTGTGCTCGCTGAGACCCACAAGGTCACGTTCGAGAACAAGTGAGTTTTCGTGGTGTTTCCTACCATGAATTTGTCGCTGATATCTTTCTTTTTCTTCAAGGTGCGGCAAGGGAACTGTAAGATCACTGAAATCTTTGAAATTTTGATCTTTCTGACGACGATTCTCCAGCCTCAATTGAAGCAGAACGGCAATACCGTCTCCACGGGCCAGCCCTTCACTTCGAACGGCCCGTTCGATGCTGCCATCGCGTTGGTTTCCCTTTTTATTTTTTGTCATCTCGTCTATCTCACAACTCGGAAAACAGGTTCTTGCAGACGGGCGAATGTGGTGACAACGGAGAGAGCTGCACTCTCGTCGAAGCTACACTCAAGAACCCGACGACTCCAGGAAGCGGCTCCAGCGCGGACATTTCTCTCATTCCTCCGTACGTCTAATTCCTTCCGTTGCCTTGTTTGACAAAATCCAATATTATCTCTTATAGGCACAAGTTCAACGTCGCAGCCGGGTTCAGGTACGAGAATGGCTGTGACGGTAAAGGAAAGGACTGTACGTTCAGTTCCTTCACTTTTCCCTCTTCTGTGGCTCTAATATATCTTTTGACACAACAGGCAAGAATGCGAATTGCCCAGAAGCCTTCCGCACTCCGCCCGAGACCGGGAAGCAGGTTGCTTGTCAGGCTGACAACGTAAGCCATTCAGCAACCATACAAAAACAGAGCCCTTAACTCATACTATACTTTCTTAGGTCAATCTCGTCATCACGTTCTGCGAGTAAATCCCTACCGCATAACATAGTGCAAGAAGGATGGACACATATATAGTAATTTGATATTCTTTGAACATGTACTATGTTATATAGCATTACTTAATTTGATGCCTCGAAACATATGAGATGAAATTGTCTCGCAGTGTGAATGATTTGGTTCAACTTCGATACGCGTCTTGTTTGAATCAAGATATATGGAAACAAGTTTACTTGCTATTTTTACTGATATTACTGTGCTGAGATGATTGGCCACACGTATCCATGTTTATTTGTTATGCCCCTTTATGTTGATCAATATTATGATAGTGATACAAATCAAGGAACTTTTCAGACACGTGTAAATGATTAACTCATCCTCAAGGTACTATCTACACGAGCAGCATGCCAAATAGTGTCTTCATTATAGACAAGATATCGTTGTAGAATTGCTATTTGTATACTATATCACAAACACCCAGTCGATCAAAATATATCAACTGCTGGTTGCCCTGAGTAATATCCGAAGAAAGCATTAAATATACTAATCTCTCCCTTCTCATACCTCAAACAAACAAAATACAGGATGTAACCAACTTGACTACATACATCACGAGCAATACATAGAACACATACAGCAATACGTCAAAGCCTCAAAGACCACCGATCCACTTCCCAATCTCAACAGCAGCCTCCGTTCTCTGCGGTTCAAAGAAATCAAACCCAATGAAATCATGAAATGCGTCTTTAGCTTCATAAATCGCTACGTTCTCCTTCCCCATATCTTTCACCATCCGTTCTTCCAGTGTACGGATAGAGTCAACTAGGGTCTCCGCATCGCCAAGGACAACAATGGATCGTGGGAAGTCCTTAAAGGAGACTGAGGAGTTAAGTCGAGTCGCTGGAGAGATGTACTCGTTTGATAGGAACGATTGGCCGTGAGGTCCTGCGAGGACTGTTGATGGGAAGTCAGGCCCTTTAGCAGGTGGTGAACCGAGGAAGTCGGAGGTTGTGTTGGCGTAGACGGATGCACCGGGGGTGGCGTGTGAGGTGGTTAGGTCGACCCATGGTGAGAGGAGGACGAGTCCGCCGGGTTTACCGAGTTGGGGATCGAGAGATGAGGAGTGGGTGATGAGATAGCGAGTGAGTGCAAGTGCGAGGTTCGCTCCTGCAGAGTCGCCTACGAGGATGATGTTCTCCGGTTTAAAGCCCAATTTACGTACCAAGTACGCATAGCCCGCGAGGCCATCGATAAGCTGAGCCGGGAAAGAGTTCGCTCCAGGTGCGGCGAGACGATACTCAACAGAGAGCGCACGTCGAACGGAAGGTGAGTGAGCCAAGACCGTACGCACCACAAGCGACACGCTCGAAGAAGGATGCGCAGATAAAGCCATGTATCCCCCACCATGGAAATCCAGAATCACTTTCTCGTCCGATTTTGCAGCTTCGTCCATATTGATTTGTTCACCAGTTTTATGGTACCAATATCCCGGGATTTTGATAGATTCGATGCTGGCGGTGTCTGCCCATTTCTTGAGATCGCCTGTGATGAGTTCTGGTACGGCGTCGATCCAGACACCGTTCACCCCGTTGCCTACTTTGAGTTCTTTGTATGATGGGTAATGTTCGAGTCCGCCAACTCTATGGAATGCAGTTTATACCTCAATTGAAGGTCGCTCACAGGAACAAGGATCACGTACTGGTTACCAAGACCCATCATATACCGTGTCATGTTAACGTCAATACATCTCCGTATAGTCCAGGAGGCTCTGGGACGCCACGACGGAAACAAATTTCTCAAAGTCCAATATGGTATCCTAATAAATAGAAGGCCTAATGCTGCGCATCCGACGTATATGCCTTTGAACGGCTGGATGGTCAGAATGCTGACGAGCGCCATGTCGATGTTGTTGACGACCACAAGATGACGAGGCCGTCGTCGTGTGAGAGCAAAGTGCGTAGATTTGAACTCTTTGACTTTACAGAGTCACACGGCCGCTTTATGCCCGAGAACTCGGTTGCAGGGACCAGGAGGATGAACGAAATAAGCAAACTCCAAACCAATCCTGGATGGGGGTCACACCACCAAGGAATTATATTTGCCTCCGGATCAGCGTTAGCGATGTTCACCCTCAGCCACTGATTCATTCTGTCTAAAGCAATATATACCGTACATATATCCCCAATATATATTAATTAATCTACTAGTTCAGAACTTCTCCGTCGGGCAACACAGGTAACTCATACCCTTTCTCCTTTATCTCCCTCACAGTACTCTCATAAACCTCATATGCGTGTTTCTCTGCGTCAAAGCCCAGAAGCCATTCAGGTCGAGGAAGGTGAACGGCCTCGCCTTTATCTTCTGGCTTCGCTTTATGCCACATATCCCGCGTTGATTCGCCTAAACGCTGTGCACGACGTACCCGTGCGTATCTGACTTTCTCCCAGGTGCGGATGGAGAGTGGGACGGAGGACTTGCCACCGAGTTGGAGGATCACGGCGAGGGTGACCCCGTCTTCGACGGCTTGCGAAGCACCTTGAATGCTCGTCCTAAATATTTCAAGTTAAAAAATTATGCTTAATTAATTGGATAGATGGTTGACGTACGGAAGGAAAGGATGTGCTGCATCTCCAATGAGTGCTAGCCTTGCGCCCTTGCTGATCCACGTCGGCATTGGATCCCGATAAACAAGTTTCCAATCAACACATGAGGATGCCTTGGATAATATTGAAGCACAGCGAGGATCCCATCCGTCGACGACAGCAAGGACGTCTTCCATTTTACCTGGGAAGGACCATGATTCTTCGATGTCCGCTTCGTCTCTATTTTCTTCAAGTAAGCACTATGCAATGAAGGAGAATGCGAGGGACTTACTTGTGAGTTATTACCCATGACAGAGCACGTCCACCTTTCGAAGATGAGGCGAGGAAGTGGACATCCGGACCTTTGACGTATGACGTATAACTTAGCACAAGAATCCGCTATTCAGAAAGAACTTACCTATCCAGCCATAAAATGCATCGCCGTTCTTGACCAAGTAATCAGTCAAGGGGTCCTTATCGACACCTCGCTCATGTGCATCCAACCATGCACGATAGACTGCGTACCCAGAGGACTTCGGTTTATCATCATAGCCCTAGATACAGACATGTTACTTGAGTCTTGCCAGACATTGGGGCCACCTGTCAGAAGAGCAACGTACCAAAACCAACATCCTTGCCTTACTCCTCACCCCATCCGCACCAATAACCACATCTGCAGAGATACGTTCTCCATTCGCAATAACACCTGCCTCACCCTTTTTCTCATCCTCCCAATACTCCGATACATCCTGGCCCAAACGAACCTCGACACCCACCGCCTTCGCGTATTCGAAAAGACATTTATGTAGCTCGCCTCTGTGTCCATTGTAACTATGTGAACCGAATTGCGTGTTAGGTAGACTTTGTCGAGAGATGATTTCTCCTGCGGAATTATGCAAGATAAGCACTTCGTGGTGCGTGCAAAGTGGCCACATGCTGAAATTTAATGAGCGAATATTCGGACTGACGGACTGAAGAGCGTACATGTCATGAAGTCCCCAACGCTCGAAGATCTTGCCCGCGTTGCCACCAAACGAAATAATCTGAAGCCAAACTCAGCACCAGGTTCTTGAACCGTTCGATGAAACTAACATCACCTAACACACACATTCAGTCTTCACTTTGGAATAATAAATAACACAAAAAGCTCACCAAGGATCTTCACCTCCCTAAATTTCTCCAAAAGTAAGACTTCATGGCCCTTCCTCTTGCATTCTATTCCGCACGCAAGTCCAGCAAACCCAGCACCGACAATGATGATCTTTATCCCCGTCGAATTCAGTGGAGCGATTTTCTCGTAACCAATACCGGGATTGCTAGACATTGCTTTTTGCGCTGCCGATAGAATGTCTGGAGACTGAGCTCCATTGGCGTCTTTGATTGTTGCACTCATTCTACTTCGAAGCGTTGAAAACTGATGAAGACAGACAGACAAGGAGAGGTCAAGTAGCAGGACCTGTAAAAGACTGAGCCGCGGCGTAACTTTCAATACATAGAGCCATGATGTACATCGCTGGTTTTATGCTAATTATGCACATAAAAGCTATCATGAGACGAAGGGATAAATTGTTGTTGCGCATTCGGGATGCAAAGAAGCAAGTCAAGTTTTTAAATAAATCAATAAAAAATTCGGAGGTAAAAAAGTCACATGGATTGACTAAGCCAAGTTCACGTAGCTTACCAAAAGGAGTAATGAAGAGCATTTCGCCTCTGACTTTAGCAATCCAGCATGTGTGAGGTTATTGACAAGGCTAAGTATCAAATCACTGATTTGCCAAGTCCTTCAAGAGAATGTATAGTGCCCACAGACAGAACTAGGCATTGACAACAGATCAGCAAAACTTGCAGCTTGGCAGCTCTGCTCTGGTCTGCACGTCAATAACTCTATTGTAAATCGAAATGAAATGACGCTCAGTGGTATGCCTGACTTTGCATGCTGTGCTCGTGGTATGCGACATCGCGCCTAAAGCAGTGCTGATCCCGATTCCATCATGTTTCACTCTTGTTATGCAGACTCGTTTCCCCGTTCAAATAGTCAAGGTCGAGGGAGTATAACACAAGACATGTAAAAGTGAACAAGCTCTTCTCTCTCATTATTTACCCCTTCCTCAAACATGTCCCAGTCTCGAATACTTTCCACCCAGCCTTTCAAGGGTATCTATGTCACTTATTCACTACTTGGTCTTGTACTCGTTCGTGTGCCATACTGGACAGTATGCAACTTACTCTCTTCATGGCGTCCAAGGAAATCATGGTCCCTCGCCCGATGTCTCCAAGTCAATTTTGTTCGATTCATGATGATAAAACTCGGTGTAACGTAAGTCCCTGTTCTTGATTCTCAGCCCTTTGGTGTTGTTCTGACAAAGATGGACAGTGTTGGAGGATTGGAACATACTCCAACTCACAAGGCATTAGAATTAGGAAAGGGTGTGGAAGGTATATGGATTGATGGTACACCCGAGCTCATTACAGGCGATCTCAAGAAATGGGCAGACATTGCTGGCGTCGAACCTGTCAAGATTCCAGGTTATTGGGAACACAAGCCCGGCACGAGAGTTACCATGGGCGAACTTCCATATTCAGGTGAAAAAGTACTTCTTGCACTCCACGGAGGTGGGTATATCATGATGTCTGCTCATCCATCGTGTGTCACCTCGGGGGTTCAACGAAAGATAATGGAGCACTCCTTCATTCGTCGAGCGTTTTCTGTTGAGTATCGTCTTGCCGCGCCTGGAGAGAACCCGTTTCCGGCTCAGTTAATTGATGCACTTGCTGGATACGCCTATCTCGTTCGTACAGTCGGTTTTAAGCCGGAGGATATCATACTCGTCGGGGACTCAGCAGGTGGAAACCTCGCACTTGCGCTCACGCGATATCTCGTCACCCACGCCTCATCCCTCGATCCACAACTCGCGATACCGGGTGGGATGATCCTCCTTTCGCCATGGGTCGACCTCACAACTTCACATCTCACACCAGGGTCCTCTGTCTACAAAAACGCAATCTCAGACTTCCTCATCCCTCCACCTAACGATCGCCTTCGTAGGTCCTCACGGATCCGAGTTTCTCGCTCATCCATATATCTCTCCTGCAACACGTCTCAACCCGGACATAAGCTTCGAAGACTTCCCGCGCACTTTAATCGTCCTGGGCGACGCAGAGATTTTCGCTGATGCTATGCGTACACTTAGGGAGTATATGGTGGAGGATATGGGCACGGAGGAGGTTAGGTTGTATGAAGCGAAAGATGCGTTCCATGATTTTATGGTTTTTGATTTCTGTGAACCGCAGAGGACGCAGGCTGCAATTGTAATTGCAAAGTGGATCAAGGCGCTCTAAAGTATTATACTTTTCTTCCTTTAATGTATACTACTAACTATCTTGTAACTATCTTAACAATTGTTAGTGTGTATTTGCTTGAAAGGCATTCTTAATCAGCTAATTCAGAGTAGCTAGCACCTCGCAACAAACACCTTTAGTAGCCGAATCGAGGGACTTCACAAGATTAGGAGGTGTAGTAAACTATAAGGGACATTAACTTTGATTCACAACCAGCCCAAATTGGATATATGTACATGTACATGCGGTATCCTACATTCCGTTCCTTCCTTAGTTCCTTCAAGGTCTTCAAGTAATATAAAGTACGACAAGAAGCAAGAATAAAAAAAGCGTTGAAAAGCGAAACAAAAAAAAACGGCGAAGAGAAATGCAATAAAGAGGCGTTCAATCCAATCCGGTATATAGCTCACGAGAAAACCAGACCAGCCAGGAGAAAAGGGTGTTAAATTGAAAGGGTATCAAAGTTAAGAAGGAAAAATGGACTTTGCACAGAGTTTGAAAGAAAAAGAGAAATCCTTCTGTGCAACCGCAATGTAACCGCAACACCACCCACACATTCATTTTTCTCCCATCGACACTACAATATACGTTTCGTCTTCGCCTTCGATGACGACCCACCATCAGCCGTACAAGAATTTCCCTTCCGATAAGTGAACTGCGAAGGGTCGATATCCGGTGGCGAGTTCGCACTAGCACTAGCTTGTTGCGCAGCAGCTGCGAGTTGGTTCATTGAGTTCTGCGCAGCGTCGATGAGTTGGTTCACTGTTTGTTGGTTTTCCTTGTTGAGACCTTTGAGTTTCTGGACGTTGCCGTTGCCGTCTTCGACGAGTGAGAGGATCTTTTGGATACTAGAAGCATTTGGAAAGGGTAGAATAAGAATGGATAAGCGTAAGTTAGGGTCCGTAAATAGAAAAGAAAGAAGCAGAGATGGAAAGATGGAGATGGAAACGCACTCGCTGGCTTGATTAGCAACCTTCTGTACGCTAAAGTCCGCGCCAAATTGGTCGATCGTATCCTCAAGGTCAGAAAGCACCGGCTTGATCTGGTTCGCGAGGTCCTCAACGGGTTTCAATCCCGTACCGTTCAGCTGAGCGACCCCGTTCGTAAGGTTCGCCAACCCCGCCTGCGTGTCGAGGAGGAACTTGTATGTGTTCAAGCTAGCTACAAAAGTAGATGAAGAATCAGTAGTTAGTTGGTTACGCAATACTATTTCCCGAAGATTCGACGAACCAATCGTCCTCGCGCTATTAGACAACTAAATTCATTCATCCAATCAGCATTCAAGAACTCTATCCCAATTCGCTTAACGAGGAATAGCAAGGAAAGATTACTTACAGCCTGGACCAACGCAGTCGTCGTCGAGTTCGACAATTCCCCATCGACAAGTTCGTTAACCATTTGTACAAGTCCTGCCGTACCAGCCGACTGCAAACCAAGCATCTTACGTGCACCAGCAACAGCACGGTCACCAATCGTCGTTACTCCTCCTGCATTTTCACCATTTGCGAGTTGGCGGAAGAACGATTTTACATGGGAGCCTGTGTATAACAAGTCAGATTCATTTTTTTAATTTAATTTAAAAAAAATCAAGTCAAGTAGAACGAGAGGACAGCAAGACTTAGAGAGGGGACTGGACTCTGGACTTACAAGGCTGTGGATTATCTGTCAGTGCGTTAGTAACTTTCGCAGCGAGCTCGTCGACTGTTGACTCAGTCGCCTGAAGTGTATCCTCGAACAGGCCCCTCCGTCGTAGTATCAATCGTGGGATGGGAGTCGAGAAGACAGGTATTATAATTAGGATAGCGGAGGCGATACAGAGTGACCACCTCATGGTGGCAGGCAGGGTATCAGAAGCTCAGGAGCAGGTAGAGGATGGGAGGAGGGGGGTGGGGTGTGTGTCGTGAAAGAGGCTGCATCGTCAGTGTATCGCATGAGCTCTCTGTCTCGTTGCCTGAAGAAACAGCATACTCACCGTCCCTGCGCCAATAGTACTCGAAAGACGGACAACGAGCGCAAGCTCGTGTGTGTGAAAACGAAAGGTATAGCAAGGAAAGTGTGTATGTAGGTATGTAACTCGGAGTACAAGTAGCGGCACAGAGAGAGGGGGAGGGAAGTTTCGCCTCACGTTCAGCGTCGATGGTGATGGGAGTAGGAAGAGAAAGAGAAAGAAAGACAGTACTAGAAACACCACTCTCTCGCCCTCATTTGCAAGTAGGGCGATGCTTACATCCATAGAATATTCGGACTCGGACGCCGTTGCACGAGTAGTATGAATCTGTCACCACGAAGGTGCGAGCCAGCCCTGGCTAGGTGCCGTCGCCATGGCCTCGTCATGTCCGGAAGACACTGTTCATGTGTAAATACGTAGAAAGTTACGTACCAGGAGAAGCCATATGTATATAAATGATTCGCACACAGTCGCGGAGGCAGTTGTTTAAAGCAGAGTTACCGCTCAACCGGGTGGTTCCCTCGAGGGATAAGTGCGTTAGCGATCGATCTTCCATCCTTCCAGTTCCTCGTCGTCGAGATCCCGTCTTCCGCAGCTTGTGATGTTCGTTCGATTCAATCACACGTGTATCATTGATGTTCGTACGCACTAAATCGGGTGGATGTTTGTCAAGACTGTACCTTGCGTGGGATGCTGTAATACAAAATAAACGGTGTCCCCTTCGGATGAAATACTCTTATTCCGCTCGTCGTTGTCGTTGACGCCGTTGACACGCGACGATGAGCCCGCGAAGCCTTCGATCGCAGCCTTTTCTAGACTTATGGATACACGAATAGCTCATGCCGATATATTTTGTACCTGTGAGACATGAGGCGCCTTGCGATGCATAAATACAAGGGCACCGGAAAAACTCACCAAAAAGAGTCATGTCATTGTCAATCTTCTCTAATCTAATGGTCATATACCGGAGAAATCTAAATCATACATTCTAATCTTTTCCCTCTTCACTCTATCTTGGACACTTCCCAAACTGCCTGTGCAGACCTTTCAAACACTTCATCCATGCTCAATTCCTCACAGTCGATTACCACGAGACGCGGTACGAAATCGCTTGGTTCGCCATGCTCGAAATCGCCGTTCTCAAACATACGGGTATGTGCGCGGACATACGCGGGATAGACGATCTGGTCGAAATAGTTCGGGGGGTCACGCCACAGGGAACCCTCTGGATCAGATTGGACTGGGCGTGAGTATCAGCTTGGCTTACGGACGCGATAACGGTAAATGTGGCGAGCATTGTGGCACGGCGGGAAGAGATAGTGTAATGGAAGAGAAAAAGCAAGTACCTGCGGTATGGTACCCGTGCCGCTCGTGTCTGCGTTGCTTGAGGGCGTCATATGAGACACGGAGAAATATACGTGCATCCAACAGGTCAATTATCTCTGTATCCCAGTAAAGCAGAAACCCATCGACGAGTCCCCATACGATATTCTCACCGTTCTGCTCGTATCTCTTTGCCAAGTTGTCGAAGAGTTCTTTCCATCGGCCGAATGTTTCGTCATTGAGAGGGACATCCTTTTGCTCGTTGAGATGGTCGTGTGATTTGTGTGAATCGGGGATCACGCCTGTCTCCTTGACCTTCTTCAAGAACGCACGCATACGCGGCCAGTCTATAGCACCTGGCGCATCGTCCCAGTCCTGTACACCGTACTCGGGATGGACCGGTACCAGTTCTTGGGGCTTATAGCAAGTCATTCTATGCTCTGATTTCTTTACCATATAAATAATTTAATTTGGCTTACTGGAGCAAAATCCTAAGCCTGAATTAATTTTCATTTTTAATCAATATCGCGATACAAGCCACAACGTACATCCTGGTGAATAATGATACTATTCAAAATGCATCTGCGTAGATGCTTAGCCAGAGTCGTTTTTCCCGAACATGTTGCACCCCTGTTCTTCCAGAGGTAAATTAAAAAGTAAAATAGGAATACATTAAAATCAAAATCAGACGTGGCATGTACACATAAATAGAACGCCCGTACCCCACGCCGACGAGTATGACTCGCTGTCTTTGGCCACTGGAGTCCGCGGTGTTCATGAAGGTCGGAGGCCAAGATGAATTGAAAGAGGCACAAATTATCACCAGCAACCTTAGATTATGTAACGCGGAAAGTTTCATCTCGCGTCTCTACACTTGTATTTCTTCCACGTCCTCTTCTACCGTTGACTCTTTGCACCCGCTGTTTAAAACAGACGAATGCTGAGCAGGTGCAAGGGAAAGCACCCAGCAGGTCGTGTGAGATGTACTGCCATTCGTGAGTATGTTCTATGTTTCTTTTTTTGCAGTTGTTCACTGACGGTTTTTGTGTTGTAGCTGCTTCGTCTTCCTGTTTTCCGCGCGTAACTCCGTCAGCGAAAATACATTATGATTCTGCAAGGGATCAAGAGGATGAATCTCGGAAAACCGTGCTGAAGTGTATCTCATCTCGATGGCGAACACTTCCAGTGCAGAGCGCGCACAGACCAGATGTCTTCCATTCACGGAGGATAGGACACTCGAGGACGTATACCACAGATGCAAAGCAAGGAGATAGCAGCTCTCAGCCTTCGTGAGTTGCATTCGTACAAAGGAATTGAATCGACTCAAACTCTCACTAGACCAAACGAAGCAAACTCGTTATTCAACACCTCCCAATCCGCCTGGGACCACGTCTTCGAAAACATCGAGGACCAACCCGCTCTCTCAGACATGCCAACCCACCCCCGTCCTCGTTCATCAGGCTACACCTCCCCAATAATGACAAAGGCACGTTCGCAAACAATGACAGCACGCGAACTCGACGCGTTCAATAGTATGTTCAACATGATCTTCGCTGCCGTCTCGCGGGACGAGCAACGCAAGCAAAAACTTCGGGAAGACGCTTTGACTCAGGGACCTGATGCGCAGCGACCGCGGACTGCTGTAGATCGACGTGCAGATAGGGTAGGGAAGCTTGATCCGCTAAGTGGTGTGGGTATTGGGATGGGACCGGACGGAACGACCGGTGTACTTGATCTAGTCGGTAGACTGCGTCGCGTATCGCGCAAGTTCAGGTGGTCACCCGCAGAAGACGCAGAACTCGAACGTAAACAAGGTCAATTGGAACTATGCGAGACGGACCAACAATTACTCGAATGGGCTGCGCGAGAGGTGTTCGACGAGTCCGCACGATACGAAGAAGCAGCTCGTCAAGCACTCGTACGGAACGAAACGAAGAATCAAGCTTCCTCCGCCTCCACGCCCGGCTCCCCAGATGCAAACACAAGCGTAAAGCACCACTCAAGAAGTCATAACCCTGTCTACTCCCCTCTCCCCGTCCAACCACCAGCCTACCCCCACCTCCTCGCCTCACTCATCCATACCTTCCGGAACAAATTCAACGACCCCCACCTCGCACTCTCCATCTTCAACCACGCACGTACCCGCTCCATCGCATCCTACGTCTTCGGCTGTACCGCACCAGCCTACAACGAACTCCTCCGTACCCGTTGGTCCGCTTTCAAGGACTTACGAGGCGTCGCAGACGCTCTCGAAGAAATGCGCGTGAATGGTGTGAAACCGGATGCTAAGACCCGAGAAATTGTTGAAGAACTCCGGAGAGAAGTCGGCGCGAGGACGATTTGGCAGGAAGAAAGGAATATCGGGACAGGTGAAGTCCTTGAACTGGTTAACAGGATCGAGTCACTCGTCCGCGAACCAGTACAAAACGACGATCCCAACAACAACAACACCAACAACAACCCTAACCACCCCAACCGACAACATCAGCAACGTCAAAAGAAGACATGGCAAGACGCAGTCGCAAAGAAGAAACAGAATCAACAAAAGGGAAAGAAGTTTCGTTGGAGGACGTCAGACGCCGAGAGTTGGAAATCGGGCGCAGACGGAGATTCCGGGGATGCCTATGAGTTTGGTGATTGGAAGGCTTTCGATAGGGCGTCTTCCTCGAGACAGTGGAACTCTTCTTCTTCTTCTTCTTCTTCATCGAACTATCGTAAACCCTATCGTGACGACAACCAACGATCATCGTCGTCGTCATTTTCTCCTTCGCGCTCGGAGTCTAATAAGCTTGAGTTCGAATAGTATTAGCTACTAACTAGAATTAATCTCGTAATATTGATAGTGGAATGCCATCATCATCCATTATTACATACGCACAAAACGAAGCACACCAATAAAAAAAGACTAGAATCGTAAGATACAGAAAGGACATCGTTGGTAATATCAGCAAGTAATGTAAGGTAAGGTAATGTAACTCCCATCTATGCTATGCGAGAGCATGACGATTGGTATATAAATTCAGTGAGAGTATAACAGACTAAGATGGGTAAGACATGGGGGTGGGTAACATTATTAGTGAGAACAGCTGCAAGGAAAGCGACGACGAATACATGAAATAGAACAGACCTTGAACCTTGAGAAGAGTACCTTCCACAAATCATAACAGCAATAGAATCGAGAGAAACCACGGACGAGAACATGAGAAGAAAAACAAAGCAAAGAAGAGAGAAGAAATAGTTTGAGAACGATATCGGTCGGTCCAGAACAAAGAACAAAAATCATAATGAATAGGAAGGGAAGGAAATCGTTCGTTCGTTCGTTCATTCTTCCTCGGGATCTACCGAGGTGGACGACGGTTGCGGGGTTTCGAGGAATTGTTCACAGCAGCTCCTAACCCATGTTTAGGTACGTATCCAGGATCCACCCTATTGCATTTCAAATGCAACAGAAGATTATGCACGAACATCTGTTCGTATCTATAAAAAGAACCAAGTTCATCCGAGCGGGAGAGAAAGGACAATAAAAGAAAGCGAGTCAGCACAAATGCCTCAAATGACAGAAGAAATAGCGAAGAGAGAAGGGACATACGGAGCATTCGTAAACACCACCGTCATCGACTCCGAATCACACCTAAGCAAATTGGGAGCCATAACAAGCGCCAAATTCGCACTCGTCATCTTCGTCGCACTCTGAACCCTCTCCTCCAAAAACAGCTGCAAAAAGCTAATCACAAACAACACCACCCTCCGATTAATCGTCGGCAATCGGGATACCATCGCAACGCACGACTCTGGGTCCTTCGCGCACGCTACGCAGTCGTTGTATAGTTCTGTCGGGACGAGCGGGTCTGCGAGCTCACGTAGCCAGAGTTTGAGAAGACTTGCGGGAACGTGTGGGTCATCGATACCTTCTAGGTTGTAATACCCGCGTTCGATGCGAATTTTGAGCTCAGAAACGCAATCACCATCTCCTGGAATGCGGAATATCCCCTCGGACTTCATGCCACCCAACGCGAGAATTCCGTCAGCGAGGAAAGGAAGGATAATCGGGACTTGTAGGTGTGGATAAGTTCGCTCTTGTAAACGGATGATGGCATCCAGTGACTCGCCAAACGTAGAAGGGTTGAAAGCCGCATCCTGTCAAAGTAATCAAGAAATATACCTTGAAGTAGTTCACCATAACATACCGAAGCAGTCTCAATTTCTGCGGCTGTCGGTGGCTTGCCCCTTGGCCCCTTCTTCGAGACGATCGAAAGGCGCTGTAGACAGTATTTCGCCATAACATCCACACGGCCCTCCGTCTTTGACGTATTCTGCTGAATAAACGACCGCAGGTACGCCTCGAAATTCTTGGATGGCGGGAACGTCACCAGCAAGACACACATCAGCTGCCACCCTCTAAACAGACTTTCACTTTATGACCACAAGGCCACCAACAGTTAATCAGCTTTCGTCAACACAAGTGAGCAAAGAACATTAGAAAGCCACTCACGGATTCGAATTTCCCGTCAACTGCTTCACAAGCTGACAATAAATTTCATCCCTCAACTCTCCATGTGTAAGTCCTTCACCAAGCAGCCACCTCTCCTCTTCCAGTAACCCCGATACCATACTCGGCAGAGAAGTCGAACTCGCATTCAACGACGTAAACGATCCTGTTGGTCCTAAATGCGGGTCTGAGGATTGTTGACGCACAACAGGTCGTTCACGGTCCCGGTCACCCATGATACGCTGGATGATTTTGAACATCTTCACAGCATCTTTGTGTAACGATCGATTCATGAGTAGGAGTGGTGAGGTGAGAGGTGCCTGGATATCCGAATAATAATGAGCGATATGGAGGTAGCGGAGTGGATATAGATACTCAAACCTTTTGCCAAACCATCATCTTCTCCACAGGGATCTTCTTCCGGAAGATAATCCCCGACCGATGAGTCGCGAAATACTGCCTTGCGAATTCGCTCTGCATGAATTGTTGGATATCAGACACAAGTTCGTCTGGTAGTATGGGTCGTCCACTAGAAGAGTTGACTCCGGTCAGTAACGAACGTCGGAGTAGAAGGACAAGGAAGGAGGCCAACCCAGTACTAAACCGCGTCCCATCGTGGTCCATAGAATTTTTCATATCGAGTAAAATAGGTTTTCCTTCTGCACGTGCTTTGACCGGACTCATGTTCATTGTGGCCCCTGTTTGCCACAAGTTGAACATATAAATTAAGTAATCACAGACATAATAACAATGATACAGAACGAAAGTAAAAGAACACTCACGAGTATCAAGCACAGGCGACCCAATATCCTGCGTCCGAATCGACGGTTGCGAACTCGCACTGAAACTCTTTCGCGGAGCGGGCATAGAAGTTGCATTCGAGTTGAGTATAGGTGGAGGTGGTATACGGTTTTGATTTTGCGAAGACTTCATCGGCGCGCCGTAAATCTTCTCAGCACTCTTTCCTTTCGACAGTGATGAAGTAAATGGTGAGTTGAGCGAGGCAGGAGAGACAGGGCTTGTTGGAGTTGGGAGTACGTTCTCGCGTTGTTTGCTTGATAGACTCGGACCAGTGCTAACTGTGAGTCCCATCCCAAGTGAAGCACTTCTCGCAGGCGAGGACGCAGCCTGCGGAGCGAAGCTCATATTATTGAGCATGGTACTCCCCTCTGGATCCGGTCCTCCGTGCAAACTGCTATGTGTTTCCGAAACAGGGGTAGGAGGGACAGGCGAAACAGGTGTAGGTGGTACACTCCCAGCTCCACGTGGAGGCGTCGAATCTCCCGCAATCCTACTCGCAAGTGCAGACAAACTCTGCTGTGTCTGTGGTGAACGATGCGAACTTCTCGAATGCGGACCAGTCGATACTGATTTTCGTTTCGCAGTCTCCTTTTCTCTGGAGGTAGTTTGTCGTCCCCGCTCTTTCTCCCTTTCCCTTTCCTCCTCACGCAATTTTTCTTGCCTCATGCGCTCCTTCTCACGTTGCATTTGCACTTCTTTCGCGCGTCCGTTGACTTTCGCCTCCGCATCCGACGCAGATCCCTCCGTACTCTGATACGGAGAACCAGGGATTGGTGGGAGTTGTGTTCCACCAAATCCGAGATGATGATTATGTCCATGTCCATGAGGTCGTTTCGGAGTTTGCGGGCCCGACTTTGAGGTACCCTGAGATGAATTTACGAGGCGGACTGTCGGTGTCGAGCCAAATGATGATCCCGCTGCTGACGCGGAGGCGGATGCGGAACGTCTTCGCATAGCTTTCTCAGCTGCTTCTCTACCTACGTTCTGAGAGTCGTTGGTTTTGTAGCCGTTCGCCATGTTGTCTGAGGCTGTACGACGAGCAGACGGGCGTCCACCAAGGTCTTGATCCACGTTCCCGTTCCCGTTTTGCTGTTGCTGCTGTGCTTTTTGCTGTTGTTGCTCGGTGTACGCCTTGACAGCCTCCGGGTCGAAAGCCTGCGAGTACCTCACACTAAGTCGTCGACAAAGAGCAGTGTTCTGTCCAGTCACCCCAAGTAATAAGAGAGAGCGCCGTATCGCATTTTGTATTTCACATCACGTCAAGCTCATATTAGCACCCTCATCATGATGAAACACGCAGAACGAGTAAAAAAATAGAACTGACCTGAAGTATTGCAAGCGGAATCACGAAGCCTTCGGGCCGCTCCCATACCGTCTCATTCGTCTTTGTATGATAATAATAAGGTATGCCGCCCCGGCTCTCGTCGATGAGCTCCCACCACTCACCCTCCGGACTCGGCGGAAGACTTTTATCCGAACACCGCGTATCCAATCACAAGTGCATTATACAGCCGTGCCAAAGGAGACGGAGACAGACAAGATTCAGCCAAAGGTATACCCGCCATCAATGAGAGACAATTTAGCACATAATTACACCCGGGCCAAGAAATAGGGCGGGCGCGGGGATAAGAGGTAAATAAGCCGACCCGAGAATCAAGCAAGGCAATAAAATCGGGAAGGTAGGCAAAAAAGCCACAATCAATCGGAGATGTCCATACGGAATCAAGATCTTTGTTAGATGGGAGTTATAAAACTAGGTGGGGAGATGAGATGGGACGTACACGAAGTTCCCCTCTGGTGGGTCCCAGCTGACTTGACCCGTCGCCGGACACGCGTAGAACGGCGTTTGGCTCTACAGTCGCATGTCAAATGGCAAGGTCGCGTGGTAGAGGATAGGTACGTGGAACGTGGAATAACGGCATCAGCACACGATGATCCAGTATATTAAAGGGAGTGGACCGGTGGATAAAAGGAAAGCACAGCGTACCTGCGGCTCAATGAGCGTCACCCAAAAGTTGGATCCCCATGCATTATCGATCTCCACTGTCTTCACCGCTGTGTTCTTTGGTGGACGAGGAGCGGCTCCTGTATGTGTCGAAGCCGAAGAGGTCGCTTGCTTGTGCACCTGTGATTGAGAATGGGAAGACGAAGAGATGGCATTGCCGTTGATGCTAAGTTGTGGAATTTGGGGCTGCGCTTGTGCCATATTACCCCTCCTACTCGCTCGTGCTTTCCGTCAGTGAGGGTGCACGCAAAAAACGGGTAGGTATTGCCACACGGTCGTTATAGACAGCGATAGGGAAAGAAGACGAAAGCCAACGAGCCCAGTGACCACCGCGGTTTCTTTCCTCCTAGTAGGCCTCCCTCGTGCTGTGGGTCAGGGATGCTATTCGTCGCGTAAACCCGCGTGGGTCAAGTGTGTCGGTCGTTGTCACCCGCCGTGCTGCGTTTTATGATTAGGTTGCAGACGCTCAGGCTGTGCTAGTGAGCGGGCGGCAGGACAACGAGGAGGAAGCAGCAGAAAATAGACACGCGCAATTCATTTTGCACTATTCTCCTGTTTTAGTCGCTTTTGTCTCTAGTCCTTTCCTTATCCATTCATATTGACCACTTGTATTTAATTTCCGTTCCTTTTCTTGCACAACTTATGATCTTCTGGATTTTTCTTCTCTTTTCTGATGCTCACATCTGAACTGTGTCCTTATCGTATTTACGTATTTCCGATCCATAATGAAATCAATTAGACAAGCATAACCTTGATCAATACATGCATATAGCCGAGAATTACATCTATAAGACGTCAACAGTGTAGATAAATAATGAAACTGCACAATGGGCCAAGCACTGAGATAAATAATAATAGACACTGGACAACGACAAGAATAAATAACCAAGCAACTGCGAAATATACGGGCGATCCCTAGTAACCAGTCGCTGTTGCAAGAGAAGTCTGCCTTTGCATCTTCAGACACTCGACGTTCCTCCACTATTCGAGCCTGCCGCCGGAGTTCCTATTCTGTGTAAGCGAGTTCGACATGATATATAAGAGAACGCAAGCGTACCTTTGGCGAACTCGATGTTACTTGTCATCCTCGATCTGTAATTCGTTCCTTCGTTCACTCCCAGTTCGCCTGCCTCCTTCAAGTTGATCAGAAGATGGCTTCCGAGGGGACTAAGAAGACTCGGGCTTCCAACCTCCTTCAGGAGGTTATAAACAACGATTCTATCCTTGAATACTATCGCGATTATCTGCATTGTACAACAATATAGTACGCTGTATTGATTCGTCAGGTCTTTATTCTGTGTCATCCTTTGTTTTCTCACAAACTGAAATATAAGGCCTGATCAAGAATAAGGACCCTAAGAAGATGGAATCCTTTGAATCCAGACGACATTTTCCAGTACTCTGCACCCTTGAAGAGAGATAAGCATAGCAAGATTGTCCCATATGTTAAAGGCATTATCCTGCTCCAAATTAGTCCAAGATGAGGCAGGCAATTACTTTGAATTACTTGCCATAAGATTATGTCCAACACTGTCGGAGGTAAATAACCAAGGCAATTTGCAATATTTGGCACCATATTCACTTCTGAAACTATATGTATTATACCCTCTCAGTTATTTTGGGATTAATGCAAAACCATGTTATAGCCTTACAAACTTCAAACCAAATTATATAAATAACAAGACTAATGTCAAGCATTGCTTCTATGACAAAAGTCTTGAGGCAGATGGAAAGCTTCTTGTCTACAAAGCATTTCAACTAGAATACTTTCAGGAAAGAAGGATACTCACTTTGATGGTAAAGAGCCAACACACGAATTTGAAGAATGTCTGTAAATGGTTATTTGGTTAAATGCATCTGATGGCTTCACTTATAAACAGAGGAGGACAAAATCCTTACAATCTATAAACATGATTGCACTCAAGCCTGATAGCTGTATTAAGTAGTTATAATTTCAAATGAATTGGGTGACTCACTACATATTTGACCAGTCCATAAAATTGCTCGACCTCACTTGTAAGTCAACAATATGCACAGGTAGTCAGGGCAAACAACACACAACTACAGGTGAGTCATTTACAGTTGAAGGTCAGTGTGAAAATTTGAGAGCTACACCTTTCTTACCTCAAAGAATCTTGATCCAACCAGTTACCTAAATCAAATATATGCCCACAAGTTGCTTAGTATAAGTTAATGAATCGGGTCGAAAAATTGCTTACTGAGCATGGATAAGATTGGCCCGAGAAGTCCGATGTAGCGATTCTACATCTTGTATGTCAGAATAAGCAACTCCACTACTTTTTCGAATGCTCTTACTGAGAAATATATTAGGCTTGTAGGACTGCGCGGGGTGACCTTCACCTCTGTCACTGAGGCACATACTGAAGAGATGAGAATCATGCCCACCCAAAAGTACTTAACCTGTAGATGACAGTTTAGTATGTGTACAAGCCAAAGGCACTGGTGTGTCTATAGTTGCCGCGGTCCGGTCCAGGTCCGGTCCAGACAGGTTTTTGCTGGACCGTGAACCGGACCAGGACCGATTTCTTATGAAATCCTGGACCTCGGACCGGACCCAGCTGGACCTCTTGTGGACCGGACCAGCGGTCCAGTCCAGGTCCGAACCCGGTCCGGACCTCTGGACCAATTATATAATATATATTAAAATAATTCTGTCTTATTAACATATTATATGAGATAGATATACTATTAAGTACTATAATAATATGTTTCTGAATATATGTAAGCTTATATGTATCAGAATACAATTACTTTTATTATTTGTATTATACTAAGTGTAAAACACAAGAAGTACTAGTGTAATAGAAATCAGTTCCCACAGTCAATGTAAACTGCCGTTTACATCTGTAAGACACAGTATAGTCTATTTGTATGCTTAAAGGGTATACAATGCACTATACAATATATGTAAGAGTAGTTCACATCTATTAGGCTCTGTACAGTCCATTTGTATGCCTTAAAGAAGTAGTATCTACAATATAAACGGTCCACAGTCCGGTCCAGGGTCCAGGCGGTCCAAAGCGGTCCGGAAATTTTTGTCAAACGCTGGACCGCGGACTGGACCCCTGTTGGACCCAACTGGACCGGACCTCAATCGGACCGGACCAGAGGTCCAGTCCAGGTCCGGACCCGGTCCACAGCGGTCCTGGACCGGACACGGCAACTATAGGTGTGTCTCTTTGTGATTATCATAC